ACTAAAGTCGATGTACACCACGTCAACATCCTTCCGTTCGTTGAGAGCTCGTACCCACTGGTGGTTTGCGTACATTAAGCTGGTGACGCAGGATCGCCCTTTCGTAAAACCGTGTTGTGCTGGCGTCAATACATCCATCGGTTCGAAAAACGACAGTAGACACTTTGTCATAATATTCTCGAGAACTTCCGATAATATCGAAGTCAAACAGATCGGTCTACAGTTTCCTACTTTACTCAGAGCACCATCTATGGAAAGCGGTGTTACTATGTAGCATTTCCAGTCGTTAGGGACATATCTTTCAGAGAGCGATTTATTGAATAGGTTTGTCACGGCTGGTAAGATGATAATCGATAAGGACTTAAGTATTAGTGGGTGAAGTCCGTCTGGTCCGGGGGGGGGGGCTTTACACCATCGAGGTTGACGAGAAGCTGATACACTTCGACTGCATCACATGGTACGCTGTCGAGCAGGAATGGCGCAACCTGTGCCAGTACTAAAACATCCGCCGGTTTACTAAAAAAAATACGGTGAGGAAGTGTGTAGCCAAGGCGTCCGCGCGCTCCGCGCTTGAAATGAGCGTCTTTCCGTCCAAGCTCTCTAATACCGGTAGGTCGCCCCCAGGTTTCAGTTGACGTTTCAAGTAGACAAAGATTCATTTGGGTCCAGTTGTCGTCGAGGATGCTAGCTTCTCTTCAAACTGCCGGCGTTTCTTGATCTTTGCAGCGTTACATAAGTTTCGCTGTCCCTTGTATACCGTGTAATCTTCATCACAACCCGAGCTGATGTATCTATCCCAAAGTGCGACGCCGTCGCACTAACTGTCCATATTCCCTATCAAACGAATGCGGTTTGACATGTCCGATTTTTAAATACTTAAGGGGAACGAACCGAGTACATGGCGAGTTAAGATTACCCTTCATTAATGACCAATAGGTTTCAAGCGACGAATCCTGTGGTAATGTCCAATCAGTATGACTTGTGGCTTAGACGAGGCAATCGAAGTCTGTCTTTTAATAGTTGAATGTCGACTTCCGTTGGTTGTAATACGGTAACGGCAATTCTGTGCACGCCACAATGGAGCAGTGGTCACTGTTCGCCAGAGGTTCGAGGACTCTGATCTCGTTCACCTTCTGCTCGTAGCTAGTAAACATAAGGTCCAGACAAGCTGCCGAGTGCGGAATTACGCGCGTCGGTTGGATGACATGTTACGTTGCCCCGATTTCAATAATCATTTTAACGAACTGAGTTTTAACGTTGCCACGAACGGGAAGAAGCCGAACGTCTGGCCAGAATACCTTAGGTAAATTTAGATCCCCCATTAATAAGAACTGAGGGCGGCTCATGTGCATCTGTATATGTGCTAGCCAATTGCAACAACGGTTTAATAGGCTACGGTAGATAACACCCACTATTAGTTCTGCGCGTTTGAGGTGGACTGTGCACCACAACTGCTCGCACAAATTGTTCTCGCTCCGATAGGTGCTGGTAAGTTAGCAGATAGTGACGATTTTATGTGCAACAGAACACCACCGTGAGCCTTTGATTTTCGGTCGCATTGAAAACAAAAGTATCCTGACAACGCGACTTCTTGGGGTATGACGTCGGGAGTTCAGCCATGTCTCTGCAAGTCTTAACATGTCTGGCTGCTTTGAGACAGCGAAGCTGCACAGTTGTCACGTTTATTCATTAGGCTGCACAAGCTGGTGAATGACACACGGACGTCCTGGGAGGTACCGCGGGATGTGCCTGATGGTTGAGCAACCGGTTGATACGGGTTGGTACACCCTACTTGATCACCCGAAAATTTACAATTTGCAAGTCAGTCTCACCTTTTTCAGTACAGCATTTGAGCTCAATGAAAGCAATCTTCAAACGATCCCTGTCTTCGGTTTCCAAGTCTCGGCGGATGTGAACATTTATGCTTTTCAGCCTTGACAGACGAGATAGTATGAGCTGCAGCATATTGTGATTTGCAAAAGTAATTCCCAGAGGTCGACAAGACTGGTTAGTTTTCTGGCCAAGTCAGATTACTTGTTTAATCGTCACATTGTCTTCGCCCACATCCAATAGTCTATCGATGAGCCCCTGGAGGAACACAATATCGTGATCATAACGTGTCTGAGGGTTTTCATCTATTAACTGGGACGTGGAAGACCATGAGATTGGAAAATACGCCAAAAGAAGAATGTTGGTGAACAATTCACACAGAAAAACACTGATAACACAGTAATCCGAAGCAAAAGTAGTACCCAGCACACAATGATCCAAAAATCCGCGGCGTCCGTGGGTACAGCTTCCGCAGTTGGTAAGCATCTCAGATGTATTCCCCAAAGATGGAGGATAAGTACTCCTCGGTTAGTGAGTGGAGGCACAGATACAACATCCATGTCCATTTTTAGTGTTACCTTGTAAAGTCTTTAAATGAGATTGTAAAGCTAGGACACAAGTTAGGTGAATCGGTCTAATGAGAAGAAAACTGAGCTCAAGGGTATGTAACGATCCCTGGATGGCGAGTCTAGAGAAGGAGGACATGTGTTGCAATTAGTTCCTGCAATGACGAACAATCAAGACTGCGCTCACTTATAGCAGTGCAGTAATGATGCTATAAGTTATAAAGGGATAGTGGTGCAGCCCCGTACTTTGCGCGAAAATCATTGAGACATTAGCCTTATTTCCATCGCCTCGAAACTTCACATGAGCATAATTCTTCCATGACTTACTGGTCCCCGTGAGGACTGAATCACTGAAAGTGAGGCTGACTTCCGCCCTTGTCGTGGTTGCATCGACCACATATTTGTTCTTCGCCAAGTTTAAGAGCAGATACCCTCACAGACGACCAACTATGGTGGTTTTCCGTGACTTGAAAGCCGCCTTCGACTATGTACAATGAGATAGCTTGTAGCATTGCCTATGAAAGAAAGACAGGCCAGTTAAACTTCTTTCCATTCTGAAGTCCCTCTATCGTGATAACCGCGGCTGTGTAAGGGTCTACGGGAAACTGTCTCCTGAGTTCCCTACGATATGTGGGGTTTGCTAGGGTTGTCCTATATCACCTTTACTATGCAACCTTGTTATCGAAATGATCATGAATAAATTGGCTCTTTCAGACTATCCTGGAGCGGAACTACTGCCAGGTGACCGACTAATAAACCTGGAGTACGTGGAAGACACAGTTCTTCTTGGGTCTTATGTAGTGGCTATGCAAACACAACTGCACACAGTTGTGCATAGCGCTGCACGCTTCGGCATAAACTTCGCGCCTTCAAAGTGCAAATTGCAGTTGCAAGACTGGGCAGACAGACCTCCGGTTTTATCTATTTCTTAACAACCACTGGAAGTGGTGGATCGGTTCACTTACCTTGGTAGCTGTCATCTAGGGTGGTCACCTCACCGAAGAGGATATTTCGTGTGCCAGCAAGGCCTGTGTGAATCTTTTCTGACTCAATCATCTATGCAAACGACGGTGTATCAACCTGTCAGTGAAAGGTATGATATATGACGCTGAGAGAAGGCCAATCTTACTGGCCAGTTCCCGGCACAGACGCTAAACGCATGGCCGTGTTTGACCACCGGTACTTGCGGAATATCGTTCACGTCTGGTGGGAACACGAACTGAGCAATGCTGAGGTCCGTCAGTTGGTTTTTGGCAAGAAGCCTTCTGGCGCCTCATTCGAGTGTTTGCTAAAACTTAGCCGCTTGCGTTGGCTAGGCCATATCCTCCGTATGTAAGTTGATCGGCTTCCTCGGCGTGCATTAGACGCCGTGGCCGCACCAAGCTGGGTGAAACCTCGAGGTGGCCAATCTATGACGTGGCATCGAGGCATGAAGAAATTGACTGAGAAACTTGGTCAGGCCGTCTCCCTGGACGGGGAGCCTCGGGATGGTAAACACCAATGGTTGGACACATTGTCATACATGGCGCATCCACGAAGTCAGTGTCGTTCCTGCATTCGGTTCAATACATCTGGTTGTTAATTGTCGTTCCATTCCGATTGGTATAACGCATTTGATTCTATTTTTTTTCTTCTACTACTACTACTACTACATCTTCCACTTCTACTTCTAACAGCTGTGTCAAACACTGCTCGCGGAGCTCAATGGCCTAGTGATCATGGCGATAGCCGCCAAGCATTATGCGCCGAGTTCCACTCCCACCTCGGCTAGCTCTACCTGACGAGTCTATACAAAGACGAAACCTTCGGTCGTGAAGTGCAGGGATGGGAGAGAGCCACACCGAAAACCTCCACTTCGGTGACGGTCCCAGTGATCGTATTGGCCGAGGCTGACTTCAAAGTCAACCGACGCCACTAGTGAGATTGCGCGTCGCAATGCAAGACACACGGCAGGTGCTCCAAAAAACCCGAAAATCAACTTCTAACCGCTGTGTCAAACACTGCTCGCGGAACTCAATGGCCTAGTGATCATGACAATAGCCGCCAAGCACTATGCGCCGAGTTCCACTCCTAGCTCAGCTATCTCTACCTGATAAGTCTAAACAAAGACGAAACCGTCGGTCGTGAAGTGTAGGGATAGGAGAGAGCGACACCGAAACCCCTTGCATTTGACTCTTGTTTACATTTTCTCTGCATTCTATTTGCACCAAACCCCACAATACTTCCAGTGTTGTTTGTTGTAATCCATACGATGTGAGCCGTGGCAACTGGATGCACCGCAGTTAGGTGCTCGGATCATAGTTGATCAACCGTACTAAACTGAATTAAGTGATGCAGCCTAGTGTACTAGGAGAGATGTTGGAGAACGCCTGTTTAGCAGAACAACAGAAAATTGTACCTGAATGTGTTTTGGAGGTCGAAAATTATACACACACAAACAGGACAGTCATGGAAACTAAGTGGCTAGTGCTATATGAGGCATTAGGGCCGGAACGAGAAGGAAGAAGCGCAGAGATACAGTGCACAAAACCAACCGTACACGACGAATAGGCCGTGGAAATAAGGAAATCCTAACAAATCAAACAAAACTGCAAATACACTTACCTCAAGGTGACGTTAAAAAAGTGACCAAGTAGAATAACCGCGCACAGAAGAAAGGAACCAAGGAAGATGAGGCCGTGTGCAACCGACAAAGAGACAGAAGTATCCAAGGTGTGGGGTACGTCAGATAGGGTGGACCAGTGGGAGAACAATATGGAAAGACCTGTCAGTAACATTGTAATAGCTGCGTGGGAAAAGAACAGTGAAAAACGACTGTAATGTTACTCCGGAAAGATCTAATTCAGAAAGAATAGTCTAAGAAAACATTTACCAATCCAATATCGCAGATACTAGCAGCGTTTTGGCAGAAGATAAGGATAAGTGATAATAAATACAATGTTAACTCCATTTTATCAAATTGATTTTGCTAGGCAGTCAACCACAATCACATATGAGTCTCATTAGGCGTAACTGCTACAGTGAATAAACGTAGAACCGGCGGTCAAAGAAGTGAACTGTGACTTAATATACGCGACAAAAATGGTAGAAAAAAGGAAAGTTCAAATATAAGAAAATGCCAACCTTTCAAAGTACCGCAATGAAGCACGGTTGTATGAAGAATGCTTCAACCTAGTAAACCGTTGCGATTTTAGTCTATTATGTCTAGCGAATTGTGTTAACGGAAAATGAAATACGCGGTTCACCATATATCCAAAAAATAATAATGCAAAAAGGCAAAGGACTGATCTAGTGAGATCAACTTCTCGCATTCGAACATAAAAATAGTACGGTACAAAGTTACTAAAGTAAAAAGTTATTAAGTGAATGGTGTAACAAAAAAGACCAAAACAAAAGCGAAAATCTGCACCACCCGACAGCAGCTCGCGACACTAAAAACTGGTCGCAGTGTAAGTTCAGATTGCAAACAAAAGAACCGGACGACGTAGCTCTGCAGAGTTTCGATGTGAATGCCATCCAGTCGGCTGAAGTAAACAGCGCATCACTCGCTTACGAAGTAAAGTTACGAAAGAAGTTGAACCATGTTTTCGTCTGCAGTCCAAAATTGTACGATCAGAATTCGAAGGGTGGTAGTTTGCCTGAATAACACCATTTAGGAAAAGCTGCGGAAGGCGCAAACCACCGTAGATAACTCACGATTATAGATAACGGGCTCACGTCATGGGCACCTGTCTAACGATTAACAGCGACTGCAGCGATAGTGTTTAGTCGCCAGCTAGCGCCGCATCCAAAGTGAAAGCGCCCAACGCATCCTCATGTCTAAGGAAATCATGTCGCTTAACAGATGACAGCAGCAGTTTGGGGCGGCGAAGAGTCGTGACGGGTAGGTCATTAGTGCGAACCAGACAGCGGCCGAAAAAGAAAATTAACCGAAAAATGAAGTGCCTTTAATGTGTGGGCTAAATCCACTGCAGAGCTGGTGAACCGATTGGTGAACGCGAGCTCTGATCGAATTTCCAACTACTCCATTTTGGTCAGTAGTTACTCAGTTAGTTAACAATGCGATGAGATGATAAGCAAAGGAACAAGGCAAATGATGCGCTGGGAGTTAAAACAGATTTCAGTTGGGAGGAACAGCGCTAAAGTGAACTAAGTACTCATGGGGATCAGCTCCAGCTGTCGTATCCGGGTTAGCGGTAATGACAAGGTTTCCCAATGAGTGTAGCGGATTCGATCCCCGCGAAGCAAGGGGGAGAAAATCTACCGGTAAATCTACTGGTAACATTTAGACTAAGACACAAACGAACCTCTGATAATATGTATTTGAGCCCTTGTAAGAAGAGTTGATAACCGAGGTCGGTTATGCTGAATAAAGTGCCTCAGACTGCTATGTTGTCGTGGAGAGGCCGGATAAACCAACAAAAATAGTAGCCAGTGTCCTTGGAAGGCGATGGGGTGAAATAGCTAGACTATAAAGAATGTTCCGTTTAGAAAGTGGAAATGAGTATCGCACGTCACTGATGAATGCGTTACAATGTCAACCACTAAAGTGAGTTCTGGTACCAAGGGAAAAGATGGTGACAGGTGACTGACTGAAATGCTATTCGAACTGTGAGGGATAGGATGTTCTACATAGTTTGCTCGGTAATATAAAAGTTTATTGAAACCCTTCTCACCCCAACGTTTCGGAATAGGTGGAGCGTTTAAACTTCGAACAAATAAAAATCTCCCCAGCTAACACACTGATGGCATCAAAGCACAACATCGCTGATTCAACGCAATCAGTGGGACGAGTTCTAAATTCAGCTCAAGGTAAAACAGATGTTGCCTAATTTGGTAACGAAACGTCTGCAACAGAAATGCTTAGCTGGGAAAACAGGACAATCCTCTCATCCACACCCAAAGCTACAGCTATTCGCAATAATTTCTAAACAATTCGGGCGAAATGTGCTAAAATCCGCTCGCTGATGGAAGACCTGTGCTAGCTGGCAATCCTCTACTCATGAGCAACTCTATTTCCTGCACGAGTGTTTGCGAAGACATGTCCCACCACTAAGTATGCACTATCGTTCACCCACCAACAATCCTTTGCCTTTAAAGATCACCGAATAACATGGATGACGAATGCTATGTCTGCTGATCACGGATGCACACAACCGATGGCAAAGTAGCCACGAGTAATCGACCAACAAAAGGCCATAAATTTGTCTAACCATTGGGGACAGTTAACCAAAGCTTGAGAAAGCGATTGCCATTAGTAACCATAAGATCAAACTCCAAACAAAGCTGAAACTAAAAAGGAAGTTGAACAGAATCTCGCAACACAAACCAGCTAACGAAGAAGACGCGTGGATTAAGAATCCATCCAAACGAACTCTATTAAATACAGAAAGAGCGGTTATTGTGCAAAATTTGCAAATCAATTACAAAGATTCCAATCCCACTGATTTCCTGGCCACACTTGAATCAACGCTGACTACATCAAACATCGCAGCTGAAGCCCAACATATTCAGTGTAAGCGAACGAAAGACACTGACAAACCTCGACTTACCGTTTTACTGTCATAATGGACAAAAATGACTACATGAAGAAAGCACAAAAACTGCTCGGAGATGTGAACACCTACCAGCCGATAAGTGAAGACCCTCAAAACGCCTGAAAAGCAAGATCACCAAAACTCTTCAAAGACTGGAACAAATGGAACAGATCACGAAGTTAGAACACAGCTAGATGAAACCCGAGCACTCAGTGCTACCACGGTTCTACGATCTACCCGAAGTACACAAAAATAGGGTACCGCTTTGCCCTATCGTGTCATTACCCAGGGCATTGAATTACAAGTTGTCAATGGATCTTTTGGAAACGGTTGAAACACCTAACCATAGGCTTAGAGCACTCAACCCAGTCGGCAGTACAATTCCTTGAAAGACTTAAGGGAATAGAAGGAGACGAGATAATGGTCTCCTTTGACGTTACAGCTTTGTTCACATCAATTGAAACGACGCTGGCCAGGTAGACAATGAGGACTCTGCTTGAACCACACGGAGCGGCAAATACCAGCAACAGAGTTGAAGCCACACAAACGATGGAGTTCCTTCACTTCTGTCTCACCACACATTTCAGTTTCAATGGCCAAACGTACAAACATAACGGGTACGCCAATGGGATCGCCAAACTCTGGACTGGTGGCAGAGGCAGTGATGCAAGCTTTGGAACAAAAGGCATTGCCAATAATGGAGCCAAAACTTTGGGTACGTTAGGTAGACGATACTTTCGTCATCCTCAAACGCCCCAGACTACAAGAAAGATATTAGCTAAACGATAATACTTTTCCGGCATCCATTTCATCAAAGAGAAGAGAGAGAAGAGAACAATGACCAGCTGCCACTATTGGACGTGCTCGTGAGAAGACATGTTTCTGGGTCACTGGAAAAGAAACAGTGTATCGGAAAGCGACGTACACCGATTAGATCTTAAACTATCGCAATAACCATCCGACCATATACAAGCGGTTGCGTGAGGACGCTTTACAAACTGGTTCAGACACACTGTAGCACACCGCAAATGAGGAAGGCGGATCACCTATTTGGCATGTTTCCTCGAAATTTGTACCCTAGAAACTTGATTCTACGCTGCCTGATATCGAAGAGTCAGGCACAACCCGCGTCCACATGTGAAACAGAAAGAAGAATGATTATCCTACCTTACAACCATGGGATTTCTGAAATGGCAGCGAGGCTTCTAATGTCTCACGGGATAACTGTTGCACAGGAAGCAACGGAAACCATACGAAGTAAACTTTTTAAGGTGAAGGACAAACTCACTAAGAAAGAAACATCGGGTGTAGTTTACAAAATTTCCTGCAAGAATTGTGACAAGTACTATGTAGGCCAGACTGGAAGAAAACTTGGCACAAGACTGCATGAACATAGTCTGGCCATTCGCCGCCACGATGAGAAACCCTTAATGTCAGTACATATGGATGCCGAGGACCATTAATTCGAGCTGGAGAACGTTGAAATACTGAGAAAAACAAGAAACAGCAGAGCGCGTGAGTGCCTCGAGGCCTGGCATTCTGGCCGGAAATCAATCAACAAAAACCTGGAGCTAGAGGGTGTCTAGGAAGCACTGCAAGTTAAGCCAGCAATAGGCACCAGATCGACAAGGAGAAGACGTAATCACTCGGCCGAGTCACGTGAACCAATCGAAGGCTGACACTGGAAGCAGATAACAATCAGTAGTCATTCGGATCTGGCAGTGGTTTGTGAGTGTGTCAATAAGGACTGAATAGCCGCATTGAAGATGTTGCCTAGTTTGGTAACGAAATGTCTGCAACAGAAATGTCCGGCTCGGAGAACAGAACAATCCTCTCAAACAGAAAACTGCTTACTATCCGGAAACGAAAAGGTGGTCGAAAAATTGACTTGAGCTAATACAATACCGTATATCAGAAATGTCGCTCGTCGTTAATTGATTCATTCACGCAGCTAACAAACGCCGGTTGATGGTGTATTGCTCGGGAAACTGAGCAGATCAATGTTACCTAAAAAGTGAACGAGTTAGTGTGAACGGAGTCCGGAGTGTATGTGCTCGGCATGAGCTATCCACTAAGGATGGTACGGGCACAAAGGCAGAAAAGCGGTATCGTCGAGGAAAATACCCTTGTTGATGAGCAATTGAAAAAGTAACGGAAGAATGCAAAAAATCTGGTTCGACAGTGGTACTGTGTTTGTAATTTAGAGATGATGCAAAATCAGCTAAACAAGTGACGTAATGATCACAGA